GCCATCACGACATAAACATTTCAAAATCATCTCAACATCAAAATCAGATACTAACTTGATATTGATGCTTGAAGCTAGCCATTTCTACACCACAATCACGCCCCCACATCATCTTGACATCTCATCTTTGTCTAACGTCGTCTCAACATCAAAGACCGACACTCGATGCCCATTGCACGATACCAATGCCTGACTCTCAAAAGCATTGTCATCTCCTATCTTGATGTCTGAGATGCAACATTGATGCCCGACTTTCGATATCCTAATTTTAATCATTTTAAGCACAAATACTAGTTAAATGACATATTGATTTTCAATTATTATTAATATTTTGATTATTTTTATACACTATTTTTAAGATATAAAAATGATAATATCATATTCAACTATATCCATGTTCTATATTTTTAATATTGCATGTACTGCTCAGTACCGAGCGTGTACCGAGCATGTACCGCTCAGTATCGAGCGTGTACTGAGCATGTACTCGGTACCGAGCATGTACTGAGCAGTACCGAGCATGTACAATCAGATGAAGTGAGACATGAAGCAAATAATGGGAAGAAAGATCGTTACCTAGCCGTGAAAAAAGAACCGAGGATTACAGGAAGTTTGAGAAGAAGAAGCGAGACATGAAGCAAATGACTGGAAGATTACGGGAAGAAAGAGAAGAAGAAATAAATCGTTACCTTCGATCGCCTCCAGTTATGTTCGAACTCGACCGAACTGTGGTCGTCGAAGTCGACGGAGTTCGCCTTTCAGTTCTCACCTGAAGCAGAAGCAACTAAGCAAGTATGTTACCCTAATACCCGACTCTTATACGACTCTCACCACTCGGTCTATATACTTACAAATCAAAGCGGTGCCTCGTTTCGCTTCGAGGCGTTACAAACCGAAGCCTACGCCCTGTGCGAAATAAGCGCACGCTCCGCCGAATTCAACGAGGCGTAAGCCTCAACGCGCAAATGCTTCGCCTCGCCTTGAGTCGCGTCTTAGTGCGTACGCCTCTTCCGCCTTTTTAATCGTTGGTTTCACCATGAGATTACGAAGGTCAAAAAGTTAACTAATCATGCAATGAAATTTAAAAGATTAAAATGACATTTTA